AAAAATCTATTCTCTATCTACATCTCTGATTATTTATTGGGGAAAAAACTAGTGTGTTTCCAAATGGTGAAGATCCATTGCTGTGTATCTCTGGGTAATAAGTGTATTGAAATGAATCGGATCATGTCATATAACAATTTGAATTATTCCAAAGTGCCCTGCATATCGAGAGACTTCAACTTGGTTGCAGTTTTGTACAGATCAAAGGATCATAGGTCAAGTCAAAGGTCACAATTATATAATGATTGAAAATTGAAAGACTACATGTAAAAACGAGAAGTTGAATTCTTAAGGGCTGGGATGTTTTTGGATGAATTTCAAATCACCTTTTCCAACTATTATGTCTTGTAGGCATGTTAATGATATTGAACGATTAGTTGCTTGAAACTGCGACTATTGAAAGATAAAACACTTATCAAAAGTCAAGATGTAATGATCTCTTTCTAGATACCGATGAAACACAGAGGTGTTGGTTTAATAAACATTCAATTTGTTACTACTGAACAGATTAGATTAAAAGGATACTTCCAAATGCTCCTCTGGAATAGTTATGCTAATTTACAAGCAGGTGGCTTTAGAGAATAAATCATCACATTCATCATTTCTTCACACGATACAATATACATGTCCATGTACATGTACACACCAAACAAAGCAAGCTGATTTTGGAAAATGCAGAATGTTTCCAAAGTGGTGAATATGCAGAGAGTAATCCTTACAGTCCCAAATCCTCCGATCTCAATATGATTTTATTTACACCCTAGAAGGTTAGGGTTAATCAAATCTTAAGATTTGGATTGAAAATAAAAGAAACAGACATGGGAATTATTTCTAGACATATCTGTTTGTTTGTAACAGTAAAAACTGAAACGCATGATAAAGAGAGTCCAAATATCTAAGTCATTAGTTTTTTATCTCTGTCTGTCTTTTCCTTTGGCACTGAATTAAATCTCTGTGTTATACAGTATATGACGTTTCTAAACTTCCACACTGGGGTTCACAATTGTATTCATGGTCAACAGCCAAATTGAAACTGTTCTCTTTCAGTTTAGGTTGACTTTTGAGTTCTTGTTCAAGATTGTCAAAATCTAGCTGGTGCAAATTTCTGAGTAGA